TAATGACAATTTCACTAACAAAGAAAAATGTGGTTGTAACCTTTTCAACAAGAGGTAGACTGAGGAAAGAACGCTGGACCACGTCAAAACCTTAAACAATCAATAAAAAAGAAAATATCTGTCACAAAACAACCTAAGCTAAATCTGAATTTATTGAGCAAGTCACCTGAGAAAATCCATAAAAATTTATATCCTGAGGCATTATTATGTCTTGCTGAGTCATTAACTGTTGACATTCACTGAGGGAGTGGGATGAAATCCATCCTATTCCAGCTCAATACCATCAGCAAAATTGTAAGTGAGCATCAGTTACTACATCCCAAATACTGGGTACCTTCACACCAAAACTAACTTTACCACTGCAACCAAAGTTCTTCTTTGAAACAAAAACCTACATAATTATCTTATGTTCCAAACAGAATTAGAACATGGAATGCTGTAATAGCCAAGTTAGCTTGCCAATGGTTCTAAAGGGAGTTCACTAAAAACCCCAGAGCACATAATCATATATGGTTGAAAATAAACTGACCTACTTTCTATCAGGTAGGAGTTTTTTAGGGTTTTTAGGTAAGTGTTTTATGGCACTCGCAACTGCATAAGGTCACATGAGCGAACGGGACACATTAAACATTTTCATTTGGTTGGAAATTTTGAATTTTGCCCGGGTGGCAGCCGAAGCCTACTCTTATCGATTTTGGACCACCAAGGGATCTTTAACAAGTGCAACTTGCACACCGACCCTCTGAAATTTTTTGCCCTTATCCGAGAAGGCGAGATGGAGATCTTTCCTATCATAAGATCAGGGTTACAGCTGAAAGACAGCAGTAAGAAGGTGCAAGGAGTAGCATTAGAAAGGCCGCAGAAAGAGTCAGGAGCCCACGGGAGGGGGCAAAGGAGGTGAGGGGGTGAGGGCAGAAAATGGAGACGAAAGCAGATGACAGAACAATGTTATAGAGCAGGAAAGGATGTGAAAGAAGAACGTTTTAAAGAAAAAAAATTTCCATCGCTATCCGGATTTGAACCCGGGACCAATTAAATGAAAGGCGAACACCTTAACCTCTAGACCACAAGAGCCCCCAGTTGGGAGTTTGATGAGCAAACTGGATTCAGAGAGAGTAGTCACAACAGACAAAATAAGTTGATGGACTGTTCCACTATCCTACAATAATATCAAAATAAAGTCAAGGGAGAAAGCAAAATTTATATCAAAACAGCCTTGACATGTTAACCCTGAGAAACTTTTCCTGCAAATGTCACCAGAATTTTTGTCGCTATAAGCTCCACCTCCACCGTGAAGGGAGCGGAGAACCAATGCCCACAAATAAAACAACAAGCCTTGTGGTAGTCAACAAGGCAGACCTATCAAAACAGCCGCTGCAAAAAAAAATAAATGGTAGGTCTAGTCTGAGCTTTGTGCACTAGTCCTTAAAATGTCAGGGGTAATTGTTCCCAGCACATGCAGTGCCTGCTAATTATAAGACTGCATACAAAGGGGAGACAAACCCATCATGCCAATCAACACAATTGATCTGTCCAGGGTGACGAGAGTCATCTTGATTGCCAAAAAAGGAACCAGGCATAAACAAAAATTGACAAGTCATGGATTGGTTGAGGAGAGGGGAGGGGTGGAATCAGAGAAAAAATACAAGTTGACTATGAGAGATATATCATGCTGTTAATGAAAAAAAAAAACAAGACATTAAGTTTCTTAAAAGAAAGAATGAGGTCATAAAGGTGAATCTGGCCAATATATTAAATTATCTGTCAAATTGAATTTAGAAAAAAACCTTAGTCCAAAGTTTTCCTCGAGAAAAAAAGGAAAACGGCTGTCACAGGGGCAGTTCTTGGTTTTTGAAAGAATCTTTCAGTTATATGAGACGTACTAATTTTTCAAAATTTTTCATTCAGTCTCCTAACTTCACACATGAATATAACATGCATGGGGGAGGGAAAACATTAAAGAAAGGGAGTGGAAACTCCGGACCCCTTCAGTGAGATCCAAGTGCCACCTTACACAGATAGGCTAATTTGACAACTGAATGTTGCATAACCAAAACACCTTCAGAGTTCACTTGTTGAGAAATTGAACTGAGCTTTGTCTGCAGGAATGACACAAGAAGAAAACTTTTTTTTCTTTGCTTGTCCTGCCCTCAGCGCTCTCTCCCCCCCCCCCCCCCCCCCCCCCCACCCCCCTCAACAACCCCTTTCCTAACTGTGGTGGTGAATGATTTTTTCCCCCTCCTAATGATACAATACAGATTATAATTAGGTAGGAGGAAAGCTGCCACATCCCTGCCTGTCAGGAGCTATATAAACACAGTTCTTCTGCTACCTAGGTAAAATAGCAATTAATACATCAATACATGACGTAGAACAACAGAATCCCAAAATAGGCTATAAAAAATTCCAGCGGAGAAACTCAGACTTTGTCTCTTTTAGATTAGACACATTTGGTAGGGCAATAAGTAGATTTTGCTTATGAAGCTAAAGACATCTCCTGATATTATTTTTTTAAATTTATGATGAGAAATACCAATTTCGAAGACCACTCACGTGTCCAAACAAAGATGCCCCTAAGCATGCAAGTAGGGTTAGGAACAAATTCATTGTTGTCAAATTTTCAACATAATTACTTTTTTCATAAAGGATGTACTTGCAGAATTAATGCTCTTTTGACACATATATACACACAAAAAATATATCTGACCATATTTCAAGCAGGGCTATTCAGGGGTGTAGCTGTACTTATTGATATTTTAATGCACAATTAAATACAAGGGAACATAATTTTTGGCAAATGTCAAGGGTTCATAAGGCACTAAAACGCCTGTTCTCCAATCCTAATAAATTCTGCCCAAGGAACGCTAGTTATGGACAATAATTGAGACAGCTTCTCACGCAAAACCCATTCTCACTTTCATTTATCAACAACATACTGACCACCGATAATGAAACATATGTCATTCAAATAGCAGAGCATTCAACATTATCTCCAACACACAGTTCACGAGAATATGGAAAAAAGTAGGCCTTGACCCATTATATATACATATATACTCTCTATATTATATACATATTACACTGAATACTGTTGCGCTGAAAAATCTGACTTCTGGTTATAAAGACAGAACGAAAAAAAAAGGCGAGGTGGACATATCTGTAAAAAAAGATAGATGCCAATTATAACGATCATAAGGAGGGAATTATAAAACTACAATCCATATAACTGTAGATGAAGTGCAGTCTCTCCCAAGCACCTACATTTATATACATTGACAAAGAAATACCTATAAAGACTTCTAAACACAAAATTTCCGATTAATTAAATTTAAAAACATCTCATGATAAACTAAAACAAACACATCACAAAATATTAACCATAATACATTTGAGCAAAAGAAAAAAATATTCAATGGTATAGTTTTACATCTGTATTCAAGAGTTCCTCAAGACAAAGGGGAACATGTAAGACAAAACTATCTGTTCTAAGCATTAATTTAAACTTTCTGCATAACCCATACCACCACGAAAAAACCTCCAAAACATCTTGTCGTATTTATGTCCCAGTCTTCGACTGCTATCATCCAGTCCTCCCATTTTAATACAGTTGCTCATGATAATATAACATGTTACCATAACAGGGACAAATCCACCATCTCTATTTAACTCTTTTTATCCTGGCTGTAACCCGACAGACTCTGTACCCGTCCTGGGGCCCCAGCGCCATATGACTTGGAATTTAGTGTGTATATTTCAAAGTGCTGTATTTCTTATGTTTACTCTTAGGTTTTAAGGAAATTTGGCAGTTATGTTAGAAATTGAAGGTAGTTTTTGTAAATGTATGTGATTAGGAATTACACCAATTGTACTAGGTAGATTTTTAGGAGTATTAAACCCTCCAACTTGACCCTGATTGCCGCGCCCACAACATCCCCTTGGATTTATAGATCAACCCCAAACCATCTGTACAGCACGAATTCCAGTACTGACCCCTTCACAGTGATCTGAATCGCTATTAGATGAGTCTAATTCCTATTCATTAATATCCAAAACGGCATTTACGGCACTTGATACAGAGTCATTTTCATCAAATTAGTCTCATTCCCTCTCACAACCCAGTACCACTTCAAGAAGTACTTCGTCGGTCGTGAACGTGCGTTTTCTAGGCATTTTTCAAGCTTCTACACACATCAAAAACAAAGAAAACGCTGTTCATTGGAAAATTTAAATATTCAGATGGAGCAAGCATCGCCGTATTTGCGTATTTTGGTAACTGCAAGCAGAACTAGCTTCTTTGACATAACCGTATAGCTGTTCTGAGTATACTCGTAGCCTGGACTGGTCCTCGTTACGAGTATACTCGTAGCCCGGATAAAAAGAGTTATAAGGGAAGATGACAAAAGAAGATGGAAAATAAAAATTATGCTCCAAAAAGTAAACTGCACGACAGATTAAAGCAGTGGCAAAAGCACTCCTCCACTAAGACAGAGTGCAACACTGAAAAATCACATGTTTCAACAGATCACAATGGTATTTTATATAAGTCACGACCATGGCAAGGATAGCAACATGAATCATATTGCAGATCAGGCCACACAGCACCACAATCTTCAATCTCTTGTCCTTTTGTTCTTTTCAGAACCTCTGCCCAAGGGTTAAGTGTGTATGTGCTTCTTCTTTTCCCTTTCTATGCTTGCGTGTTTGTGCTTAAAGTGTGTTTGTGTGCTTGTGTGTGTGTGTTTAGCGTATGGGCTGGCTTCCTTGAGTGTGCCCGGGAGAGTTTATGTCTGGGGAAAAATTGTGTACAACAGAGCGTTAACATGAGAGGGTATGCAAAATGTGTGTCTGTGTATGCCAAGGTGTGTGTTAAGTGTATGCCTATGTGGGTGCCAGGATGAGAGATATGTGTTTGTGCATGTGTGTGTGTGTGTGTCACTGTGCGTGTGTGTGTGTGTGTGTGTGTGTGTGTGTGTGTGTGTGTGTGTGTGTGTGCGTGCGCATGTGTGTGTGCGCATGTGTGTGTGAGTGCATGCGAGTGTACAACAGGTACAGGTGTATGTGTGAGTGCATGTGTGTATGAGTGCGCGAAAAAAAGAGAGAAGAGGGTGAGCCCATGCACTCACAAGCTCATTCATTTTCAAAACACAACCTGTAGACCAGTGAGCAAAGTCTCCAGGGCCGAGGGGGGGAAATCAACAGAACACCTTGCCAGGGTTCATGATGCCGTTGGGGTCAAAGGTTTTCTTCACTTGTCTCATTGCCTCAACGCCCTCCTCACCAAGCTCTCGGATAAGCAGGTCCCGCTTGCCCATCCCAATCCCATGCTCCCCGGTGCAGGTTCCGTTCCGGTCCATGGCCAGACTACGGAGAGAGGGAGAAGAAACTTGCTTAAATGTCACCCAAAGAAAGGATTATGATTTCAAAAGCTACAGACTTTCAACTGCTGCTAAAAGACTTTAACAGTGCCTTTTTAATATCTTTAAGCAGGGAAACACTCTTATAGTCCCATACGTTTTTTTCTTAGCTTGTTGTTGTTGTTAACGATCCAGTTTTCTTAGCTTAGATGTTTTACTTCCGTTAAAACATGAAAGTGCCTTCTGATTTATCACCCGGCATTACTAAATATTCTTACACTTACAGTTCTTAACCATTTTCTACTACTCAATGCTCTGAACAAAAAAGTCACTATTAAGTTTTGTTATTTATGCGTTGACTTTCAGTGCAGAGAAGCACATTAACACAATACAGGTCAATAAGTGTATGAAAAAAAGGCAAGATATATATGTAAACAGTGTTAGTGCTTCACCAATTTATATGGAACATTTTCAATGTAGTGAATCAAAATTACATCCTGCCCACTGAAAAGAATGGCTGCAAGCAAGAAAACTAAACTATAAATTATAAAACAGAAAGTGGCCTCTTGAAAGTAAACTCAACAAAAAATTATCCGAACCTTATAAAATTAAACACATAAAATAGAAAATTTGAAATAAATCTTTTTAAACGCCGAGTCATTTTGATCAAAAGCAGGTCCTCCCCCCCTCCCCCCACCCCAGAACACTTTTCATTGGTAATTACTACTGATAGATTGTAGATGTTTTACGCTTCCATTGACACAATTTAGATAATAAAATGGATGGACTGCTTCAACCCTCTTAGGAGGGATACAACATGCTGGCATATGGACGGAGATGCTTGGTATAACTTTCCCACTCAGGAATTGAAATCATATTTTCTGGACGTATCAGCACAGAGTCTTATCATTACAACAATGACAATGGTACAAACACTTTTGCAGAACTATGTTGACAAAAAGTAAACATGTACAATAAGACACCCCAAAAAATAATCTTTAAAAAACATTCTGACATCTCTTTACATGCAAACACAAAACTTGAGGTCAAAATGGGTGGTGTGGCAAGTCTTCACATATCAAAGTGAGACTAAGTATATCTATAAATCTGAAGAGAAATAGTCTCCATTATTGTCATTTTCTCAAGACAAACCAAAATCTGAATACATAGTGCTGGTTATTTCTTCCTCTTTCTTGCACGCACTTATAGTTTCCATTACAATTTCAGACTAGATACCAACTGCTTAGTGTAAAACTATACGATGTGCCATTTTGAAAAGTGACATACAATGGAGTCTTACACTGAGCAGTCAAAATACTCTAAATAACTTTTTGAGGTAAAGCACAGGGAAAAAAGCTTCCAGACAGGTCTATGGGGGGAGTGCAAAAAGACAAAATAAACGAGCACCATAAAACACTTACCACAACAACAAAAAACAACTAAAAAATGTAAAACTCCACAAAAGATTTTAACTCCAAACTTTCAAATGTTGGTTAATTACATGACAAAATCAAAGTGGACTGCCTGCAACTCAAGTAGCACAAATGACTCAGTTCTAGAGTCACACGTTGTTCTACCCACTCCCCATCACCCCTCCCCTTCAAATTTCTCTTTTTATCAAATCATAGAAAAGAGAAAAAAAGCTTTCAATGTATAATGTCCTTTATCACCAGAAAACAGAAACATCTTGAAAAAATTAACACCAACATTTTCAAGTGGGTTTCATTCCCTTAAAATTTCCCAGGAAGCTGACGCTGTTTCAGAATGTTACTGCTTCTACAAGTGCAATAATAAATTTAGTGCATAGAGCTTACTTTGTACTTTGCAATCTACTATCATCATTGTCATTATTATTTAAAGTCCCATCCTATTAAATTGGTGTCCTATCAAATAAACTGCCTCCTACTCACTCGATTATGCCATGTGCAATAGTCATGTTGCGGGCATTGTATTCAGCGTCCTGGGTCATAAGAAGCGCCACGTGATAATTGCCATCACCAACATGGCCTACGATAGGAGCTGACAAACACACACAAAAAAATCCACGTGGAAGATATCTACAGGATAAATTTTAAAAAGTCTGTGACTGGTCAAGAAAGTGCCTCACAAAAGAAGACTGTATAAGCCTAGTTTTCATGTCCAAAAATTGTGCCGTTCGAAAAAGAACATAATATGTGGTTTTTAAATGCTACAGTTTTGTTCTCATGACTGAACTGTGAAGCACTCTCACTTTTTGCATGAAGAAAGTTTATAAAAAAGCAGAGAAATTTTTAAGGGCTAGTTTTGATTTAAAGAATGAGTTTAAAAAAAAGCAATTTAATAGACCGCTTAGAAAAGGTTTCATGTTTGTTCATATATGAACATAGAGTAAAATTTTAAGATGACACATTTATTTTTACTTCGCTTTTGGTATCAATGTATCTATGTACAGGTCAAAACTTTCTTCATGCACGTATAATGAAATTGACAGAAACACAAAAAGAAGTAAAATGTCAAAAATACAAATCAAGTCCAAAAGAAAGCCCTGAACAATGTGCATACTCAGGTCCTACTCACAGGGCCATCCTATGTGAAATGTCATAGACTTTTTTAAACGTCTCAGTGTCTGCGTGGTCCACAGGGAAAAACACGTGGAAATTCCCATCTCCGACATGCCCAACAATGGGCCCTGAAAACAAGAGCATGAATCGCTCATCAAGTGTGAACACAACCCTGACTACAAGTAGAGTAGAGAGTTTAGATCAAGTCAGCATGATTACAATGGTCACTTTTTGTCACTGCTACATAACTCACATTCAAGTATCCATAGGCTTAAATATAATTCCTTTTCCTCACAGACTCAAAACATGTAAGGAATATCTGAGAAATATATTTACACTTGGTCTTTTCCATATTTTCTGGATATATCGAGTATCTCCAAATAACGTACATTCTTAGCATAATTTCTTTGAAACTTATGAACCTCATCATAGACAATGACATTTTTTCAGGTAAAATAATTTTTTTAAATGAAGACACAACCACAGATTTTCTAACATTCGACAAAAAAAATGATTAGGCTATTGTGCCATTCTGCTTTCCCACAGCAAATTTCTCCTTTTCAGTTCCAGCGGTATGTCTATTTCTGATTTAAATATTCATTTAGAATTAAGAGATTTACTTCAGTCTCTGCAAAGCCTCGACAAAACTAAAGACCTTAACGGGATGAAATGTTCATATTCCTACAGAAGAAATGTTAACCCGTCCAGGAGACAAAGCTACAGTATCTACACAATTTTTTGTTAAATATGGACTGTAAAATCCTTGTTTCAAATCGCGCACCACTTTTTATACTTGCTTGTACATTTTGGTCTCATTTCATAAGGGAGACGATTGAAAACTAGAACGGCGACCTGGGTCAGAAACCATGAAAGGAAAATATTAAACTTTTGTGTGACTTGTAGAGTTCTAACAGGTCACCACTTTGTCTTATCAGAAACAGAATCAAAGAATGGAGGCATTGGCTCTGGAATCACTCACACTACACTAAAAGGAGAGTAAATTAAACTCCAGCTCTGACAGGTACATATCATCACTGCGCTAGCAACTCAGAGTTGTGCCAAAATGCAACAAGCCTTTTATTTCGTTTGGTGGTACTATGTCTATCTTTTGGTAAAACCAAAATTAAAATGCAATGGTAGTCACAAAAGAAAAAAGCATAGCAAGTTTTACCATTATTACATGATAAATAGTCTAGTTAATTTTTTTCCCCCCAATTATCTCAAAACAGCAAAAATGAAAGGTGCCAATTTATTAGCGCAGTGATGACATATGATATAAATGCAAAAATTAATTTGTTTCAACCTATACAGATATACAAAAATATAGATAACAAAAACGATAAGGTATTCTTACCAATGACATTTGCCTCTTTGATCATTTCCTTTGTTTTGACGATCACATCAGGCAAGTGGGAGATAGGCACACAAACATCAGTGGAGTAAGGCTGAAATAACAAGACAGAACAAATAGTACGTTGTTAACTTTTAAATATTATTCTCTACGAGAAAATTGTAAGATAAATTGCAGAGACTTCCATTGAAACATTTTGAAAAACAAGAGCATAGAGAATGATAAGAATGACTAGATGCTGTTGGAGACGACTTAAAAAAAAAATCCCATGCACAGTAAAGTAATTACCTTTGAACCAGGGATAAGTGAGCAGCATGCCCACACCATCTCATGCCTGGCCTTCCATAGTTTGTTTCTTTCATCAGCTTCTATGGCAGTCTTCAGGCCAAATCCATTGTTCATATCAATCAGCTCCTCTGCAACAAAAACAAAAAGTACTTTCAGAACAAACAAAATAAGACTGATGTCAGGTAGCTTTGAATACCCAATAAATTCTTCAGGGGTGGCGAGCTATTTTCTAAGTTATGTAAAGATTAGAGTCGCGCAAAACAATGGCCATTCAGAAGCATGATTAATTGTCACAGCTCAACCCCCCCCCCCCCCTTAATAGATCATCTACAAATGGGATGCAGTTTTGACCCTGCCTATCCCCTTGAACAACCTGAGCTGAGTAGAATACAACAACCCAGGGGACAGAGAGGGACAGTCAATCTATACCACATGAACTCACGTTGCATGCAACAGCAGATTCTACCCACGACAACACAGAAAAGGATTTTCAGTAGCAACAACACCCCATAACAACGGTACACTGCACTGAAAAAGCATCAAATTCACAAAGTACAAAGTCCTAAACAGGACCACAGACAAAAAAACAGATGCACAATAATTTGACGGCCAATGTAAAAAATAATGCATGTAACCTATCAAAATAAAACATTAATTACACAATTCACTGAATGTTCCACAAATGACTATAAACTCATTAGCTCTACAAGACAGAAAACCACTAAAATTCTGGAAGAGACATAAGTTTCATTATTATCAAAGGCCCATTGCTTGATCTATCATAATGACCACCGAGACATCAATATCCTCTCTCGGCAGACGGTACATTGCATCTTTGAACACAGAATCATCCAACACTTACTGACAGTGTTGAACTGATCTTCCAGGCCAAGTGCAGGTCCGTGAAATTCTAAAAACAATGACTGTGCCACCGTCATATCAAACTTGCTAAACTTGTTGAAAGCCTCAATGGCCACATCATCAAGAAATTCTGAAAATTTGAAGAAAAAAAGAAATTCAAATTCAAACAAATTTCAAATTCAAAGGCCAGTCCAGTTACAAAATGGAATTATTTGACAATAAAACAAAAGCAAAAGAGATGAATATTACTTTTTCGTCTTAAATAAAAATGCAAATAAAAAAAGGTTTCTTTCCTTAAGGTTAAAAAAAAAAAAAAACACTTGCAGAATGTTCATTCCATACACTAAAAGGGAAAACAGAATCTACCACAAGTGTGGCATTTTATAGTTTCATAGTTCATAGAGATGGTATAAGAAAATTAAAAACAAAACACTAGTTAAGTGAACATCTTTCCTCTTAAAATTCCCCTCTAAACTGACATCTAACAGATCTTCTAAAGCTAGCTACTTAATGGGTAGGGACAAGTCATGCATTATTGAGAAAGAAAAAAATAAGAAAAGATTTCATGTAAACTATTTTGTAATTAAAAATTAGCAAAGTTCATGATAAAAATGAAACAGTATTCACTATAAAAAGTTCTGAACTATCTGGATCCTATATTACCAAAGCTTTAAAAGCTGAAAATAAAATTAAATCTTAACCACTACACCAATGCATCGAATGTGGCTTCAGTATTTGTCTCAGTGGGAAACTCTATTGAAAATCAATAAACCTGACACAACTCATCTTAAAAAATCAAGAGATTTTGAAAAAAAAATAACATTCAACTTGAGCCACAACAAATTAATACCACAAAATTGTGCCTTCAAACACATCTACTAAAAGAATAAAGATTCACGAAAAACCCAAAGAAATCCAAGTTCATGTGTTTACAATAAATTACCAACCAAGTTTTGCCATGGGAATTCCACACTGCAACACTTGTACGACTGTGTCAACAGCCTCCTGCACTGAGTTAAAATGACACACGGCGGAAATAGTCTGGTGAAGGAAATAATTGCACTTCATCATAAAGTTTGTCATCAATAAATTTTTAAACCACCAATGGACAAAGAATTAACTTTTCTTTGCATTTGAAAACCTGTTCATGCACATTGACTCCAAATAAAATGGAGCAGCATGCAGTAGTTTATGGCCACCAAATTTCCAAAATAACATTCAATTACTTACCAATAGCTCCAGTACAAAAAACTATTAGTAAATAAAATAGTCTAAAACGTTGTGGTGAAATATATGATCTCCACTACTTGTGCTTTTTCCTCTGTTTTTTCGTCAGGACAGAGGACGGAACTCCATCTTTACTGCTTTGAAACATTTTGTTACAAAACTTGTGATTAATGATTTTATATAGCTACACTTCAGCTTGGTTTTTAACAGCAACAGACCATGCATTAAATAATCACCTCTTTATAGAAATATTCCACCTTTCATTTATGAAATGTTTTGTCACAAAGCCCTTTTTATTCATGTAAAGATTAGGAAAAAAAATGGAGACATTTGTCAGGAAACAGAAAAAAAAAATCTTCAAGAACGAGAACAATGGGCTTCTAAAATCTCTTCTCTTAAATCTAAAGACCTACCATTTGAGAGTAAAACAATAACAGTAAACCAAGGGAGAAAACTACACTAAAAACATCACTGCATCTTTTAGATATTTCACATTAAATGAAACTAGATTCATTACAGCAGGCATAAACTTTCTCAATTCAAATAAACCACATTTTTAAAATCTTTCCTCACCTTAAAAGTGTACAACTTTTTCTTCTCCGACTGACACAACCACTCTACTTAACAGATTAACTCAATAATTACAGATCACATGACTATACCACTTTCAGGCACTCAGCATAAAAACAAAAGCCTGCGGGCTGTTAGAACAACCGGGACAGGAAGGACTATGAGGGTAACATCCTTCATGTGAAACAGCCCCATCGTGCAGCTACTAAAAATACCAAGCATTACCTTTTCTGGGACTCCATATAATCTGACGGTAGCTTTGGTAATAGTGCCAAGGGTACCCTCTGATCCAACAAACAAGTTGGTCAAATTGTAACCAGCCGAAGTTTTCCTGAAAAAAAATATTAAGGGAATAATGTCACAAAGGTTATTTTTAAGCTCCAAAGTGAGGGCATTATCAAATCACAACACAACATGTCACTCTTTCCCTTTGTTCCTCAAATTCGCACAAGACTTTGATGACAGCAAAAACAGTATGACCCCTTTGTAGAGTTTAGTTACTTTTGATATCTTATATTAAATATGTGTGAAGTGTATACAGCACGTGATATTCACAATGGATATTTGTTTCAAGCGCCCTTCAGTATTCTCCCCCCCCCTCCCCCCCCCAACCTTTTGCCATTCCCTACAGAATAGGGGTGAAAAGCAATTCAAATAAAAACTTCCCAACTGTTTTTCTCCCATCTGAACAATGCTGGAAACCCAAATAGTCCTAAAATAGACAACTTTAACTTCAACTTTGTTGCTTACATCAACAGATCAGAAGAACAAAAAAAACCCCACTCACTTGGTTCGTCTGCCTTTCCCCGCTGTGTCGATGACACGCCCATCTGGCAGCACCACCTCCAGGTTGAGCACATTTTCCCTCATAGTCCCATAGCGCACAGCATTGGTCCCGGACGCACTCGTAGCACACATGCCGCACACTGACGCATCAGCACCAGGATCTACAGGTGGGCAAGAGGAATTAATAACAGAAATGGGAATAGAGCAAAAGAAGGAAAGGTAAAGGCAAAAGGAAATTTTGGTGAAACAAAAGGAAAAGGAAAACTAGATACTTGTGGAAGGGGAAAAGATGGTCGGGGTAAAAGCGTTATAAGTTAACTCTTTATCTCTGAGGGGGGGGGGGTAACCCACCCACAATGCCGCGGACCTTTTTTGGTACTTAATCTAAAAATGACGAATACGTCACTAAAATGGTCATTAAATCAAAACAAGTGAAGCTATTCTGATTGTTCTTCATTTAATGAATGAAATGTCGATAAAATAATTTGATGTCGACATCGTTGCAAAGGAATGCACCCGAGCTGCTGTTAGCGGCTCACCCGCACAGCAGTTCTGACCGCAAGCCAAAGAGTTAAGAAGGGAGGGGAAGTACGCTCGTATGTTATCGCTTTTCAAAATTAAGAATTTTCAGTAATATTAGGAAAGAATTCTGAACTGTACAGAACTGTAAGCAAAGGGAATTAGACATTACACTCATTGAGCCAAAATATTAAATATCACACAACAGAGAATATAGCCCTCACTGTTTTGATCAAAATGAACACTCTCTTACTGGAATGCCAAATAGCACATACTCCATTGCATACACAATGTACCTTACTTACAAATGAGTTCACAAGATGTTGACTTTTTTTTGGCAATCTTGATATGAGCACACTAGATACTGCCTGGAGGCTGGAATCCCATTGGACAGAAGATCATTTGGCATTGAACCAGAACCTCAACTTGTACAAAAATAACACATTGCAATAACACAGACAATAGCTTCAACACAAAAGTCAGTCCTGGAACATGGGGGGGGGGGGGGGGAGCCTGATGATGCAGACTGGTCAAAACTATGAGGAAGCCACTTCGAGAGGCCTATTGTCAACCAGGAGATGCAACTCATTTATTATTGGGAATATTAATACCAAGTACAAGGCAGAAATATGATGGAGATAAAAGGAAGCAGGGCCAAAGAGACTGCAAAACTTGGACAAGATGAAAGAGCACAACAGCCAAGCACAGGGTGATCCAAAAAAAACTTTACAACTTTTTTTCTAGATATCTTTCGCAAATGTTGTTCTAGAAAGATGAAATTTGGAACAGATAAACTTCATTCAAAAAGAATTTGTTTGACATAAAATTAATACAGAAGAAACTTATTTTCAGAACGGAAAAAGCATTTTTTTAAAAACACCCATAAACGCAAAATGCTCCAATTTTTAAAAAAGACACTGTCGCAAGGAAAGTCATGAGACGATTGATTTGATTTTTGTCTTCTTTTTCTTAACAACATTTAATTGTTCCGCCCTTGTGACATTAAACAATATTTAACTTCTCTTAGGGAGTTAAAGAACTAACATTTTTGTTCTGGAATTTTTAAAACAAATGCTCCACATGTCCTCCTTTGGACTCCAAACATCTTTTAACACGTCATTTGAATGCTCGATGACGGCCAAACAGTTCCCGCGGAATGTTTCAAACTTCATCATAGATTGTTTCATAATTTCAAAGTTTCCAAACTGGTTTTGAAATATCCTGTCCTTCAGATAGCCCCACAAGAAAAAGTCTAAAGGATTCAGGTCAGGAGAATGCGGAGCCCAAATGTGTTCACTTCTGCAACTGATCACATGATCTCCAAAGCGGTCAGCTATCCATGTCATTGATCCGACAGAAACGTGTGGATTGGCCCCATCTCGCATGAACCACTGGTCTTGGCGATCCAAGTGCCGGTGTCTCCCCAGATCCGTCCATAATTTTTTCAGCACCTCGATATATTGGTCTGTGTCCACAGTTGCAACGTGTCCGTCAGCGTCTTCCAAAAAAAAAGGACCCACCAAACCATGAGTGCTTAAAGCCACCCACACTGTACACCTTTCACCATGGAGTGGCTTCTGGAGACAGTAGGGAGGTGGGTGGGATGCCCAATAGACAGCATTTTTGGAGTTTGCATATCCTGAAAGTTGAAAATGCGCTTCGTCACTGAACCAGATGTCATCTAAGAAACTCTTGCGTTCTCCAAGGCGGTTGAGGAACCACCGACACATTGCCATCCTCTGTCCCCCCGGTCATTCTCGCGAAGCGTTCGCGTAACATGAATATGGCATGGGCATAAATTAGGATCTACTTTAAGAATATGCACTGTCGATGTGTATGAAAGTCCTAGCTGCAGGCATCGTCTGCGGACAGATGTCTCATTAGATTCGACGTCCGAGTTCTGCACCCTGACGATGTTTAGAGGGGTTCGAATGGTGCGCATTCGACCTGAAGCCGTCGCTTTTTCTTGAGATTTTTTGTTTTGATTTTCTATACACCCAAACTGACGGAACATTTTTACCCATAACATCAAATAAGGCCTCGATGGCACTTTAGCATTCTTCCCATACTTTGTGCGGAACTTATGAAATGTCAGGGATAGTGATTTTGTGGAGAGGTAATGTTCAATACAAAATGCTCTCGGCTCCTTATTAAACTGAACCATGATTTGGATAAACAAAAGGAACTTGAAAAATAATAATGTCTGCAAACTTCCGTAGGCCTGTTAGACTGCTGTAGCTTGCAATATGATGCAATTGTTACGACATTTTGTGGTAATGCCTACTGCTGCATAGTGTAATAAAAGGGGACAAAGGTAAAAAATGGGTTGTTTTTTTAATGCGCATTATACTGCAGAATTACTTAGTGGAATCATCTAAAATGAATATAAGTCAAATTCCTTTTGAATGAGGAATATTGTGTTCAAATTTGAAGACGAAAGGAAAGCTTCAGTGTGGAGGAAAATATTTATGAAAAAATTTGTAAAAGTTTTTTTTTGATCACCCTGTACTTTGCCCCTATACTAACACAGGTCTTCTCAAATTTCTGACACATTTTTTCTGAATTCTAAATTAAAACTACATCAGTTCCAGAAGGGTCTTAACAAAATCTACACATCACACAAGAAACCGAGGAAAATAAGATCCGTATATCAAGAGAAAAACAAACTAATTATCGAAATTCATGGAAAGATATTTTTACCTAAGAGAAATGTTACAGGGTGTATCATATGATGAAGCAGTTAGCTTGCAGCTATAGCAATAGTCAAGGAATTCTTAGTGAAAAACAGTATAAAAAATGAAACATGTCATGGAAGCAATGTAATTTTTTTGCTGCTCCGAAAAAGACACATTATTTGTTTGGTCCTTTACAAGCAGTATTTGCCACAAGTTGTATTCCAAACAGAAGTTAAGTGCACAAAGTACACAAACACCACACATCACCCACCGATCGGGAAAAAGAGCCCAGTGTCCCTGAGATAATTGTTGAGGCCGATTCTCATGACCCCTGGCCGCACGGTGCAGTCAAAGTCTTCAGCATTCACTTCTATGATCTCATCCATTTTGGTCACATCAAGACAAACTCCACCCTGGAGAGAGAAAAAAAACTTGTTCGCTTTTTCTGACGTTTTGTTTTAAACTAAGAGCCAAACTCGAGAATTTATCACTCTATCACAAGTATTCAAAGACTAAAGAAGAATATTACCTATACCTGGTATAAAAGCAACTATATACTCTTCCTGTCTTAATTAAGAAAAGGATGTTACTAGTTCCTGGTAGACACTCGGACACAAAAAAGTTTTTAAAAATACCCAGGAATGTGAAGAAAATGAATACTCTGTGAAGGTTATTCTCTTATGCTCCTCACCTCCAGCGCATTGACTCCGCCCTCCAGCCCTGTCCCGCTGCCAAAGGGAATGAGAGACACCACATTGTCGTTGCACAATTTGGACACTTCGCTCACATGTTGCACAGACTCGGCAAATACCACGACGTCTGGCAGGCCAATTCTGAGGAGCAAAAAATACACAAAGACCTAAGTATACTAAATCCAAACCAGGAGAAGACAAGGAATCAGCATTATTTTCTTTAAAAGGTAAGCTGTCACTTTTTAAACTTTTAGAACAAAGAAAGGACAGACTGCAAAATTAAAATCATTACATTGCTGTGAAACTCTGTTACAACCATAGGCACCTGCCAGCCACAAAAATGCCATAAAATGAAGGCAGTAGTAGGATACATTGAGATATTACCTTAATTAAGGAAGCAATTCATTACTTGCTAACCATGCCAAATCCATGTTCAACTGCCAGGCTGTACATGCATGGTACATGTACAAAAATAGGACGTTTTCTTGTATTCTTCATATACAGATTTCAGATTGGATCAAGTCCCTTGTTAACTCAGAAAAAAAATACACCAAACAAAAAAACTTGATTATTCCATCATTGTAATCTTTAACTGGGTAGCATTAGAGATGGAGTTTCCTCATTGTTTAGTGAGGAAATCTAATGATGGACAAGAATTCTAAGTATCATCCTATTGAACCACTGAAACATTTTTTTCCCAGCTCTATCAAAACTTTAAGAACTGATTTGGACAGAGTGAAATCAGAGGGGCGAGAAAAGATGAGCTCAGAAATGGGATGGGAAGAAAAGGTTAAGGCAAAAGAAGATGTTCATACTCATGGTGAGACTCATCATGGCCATGCTGTTCTCTGACGGCGTCGGCAGTCGACACATTCTTGTCTCCAACAATGCTTTTTAGCGAGCTCACAAAGTCATTGGTCACTTTTGCCTGACGGCTCTGAAAAACAACATATAATCATACACAACATTCCCATTACAATTATAAAACAAAGGGCAAGACAAAAGTTTAGTAGAATAAAAATAACCAAGAAAAACACTGAGCTTATGCAGTCCCTGCAAATAATCTCGGTTTGCATAACTGTTTCAGAAATCAGTCTTGACAAATGGGCATAACCTACAGACTTCACACCTAAATGCCACTCTGGACATCTTACCACAGAAAACAGTCGCCAGAGACAAACAAAGCTAATGTGAACAAAAAAAAGAAATGCTTTAAATCATAACAAGCTGACACTGAAGGAGTAGAATAAGGGATAATAATACACCCCAAAAAAGTACGGCAAAACTGATGGGAAAAGTGGAGGGATGGGATAAGAGTCAATTGGAATGTGTAACCTTTTCACTGGGAATACTGCTCTGGGTGGTGGTGGCAGTAAGAACAGACACTTCAAAGCAGCTGGCTTTTACTTTATTTGAGGGCACTTCGAGACAAACATCACACATTTGAGAAAATGAAATCAAGGTTACAAAGTCATTTATTAGCACACTGAGTTATCAGAACCGATGAATACATTATTTAAATCATGTACCGGTTGGCTGCTATGACAGTGTAAAATATAGGCTTTATAATGGGGTTTTTTTCCCGAAAGAATTTAGCGGCACTTCAATACAATAAGGTCATATTAGAGCCGAAGATTAAAGATCTTACAAGGGAGTGACAAACACAAAAAGGAGGAGAGATAAGGACAATAGATGTATGATAGGAAAGAAGGACCAGAGCCCCCGCTAACCATCCACTTTATGTTTGGAAAATCTTTATCTAGAAATCAAGGTCCCATCAACATTGAACAAAGCTTATAAATTTATATAACTACAACCATGCCTTGAAGGCTGCATTCTCTGCAAATCCTTCGTTGACAAAGCAAAACTTCACTATTAGCATATTCTTGATTTAAAAAGTCCAATATATCAAAATAGGACACATAAAAATCTATTTGAGAGGCATCATGGTGAAATCAGGCGATATTCAAAATAAAGAAATAGAAGAGGCATTTTTTCTGCTCATTTGACAATTTTATAATATGTGAGTTTGCAGTTTCCAAGTATACTCAAGCTTTGGAAGTCATCAAGCTTTTCTTGCTAATTTTACTTCTGAAACCAGGCAACCCCAATCTCCTTAACACTTTGTCGCCTTATCTCTCTAATTGGCGATGTTTATCACCCAGTGTCTTTGGATTTTCTCCAAAATATGATTGCAAAGTGTTAAATTGCAAACATCTAAACTTCTATTCAAGACAGATGACTATTTTTTTCATCAAAAGCAAGACAAAAGTTAAGATGATACCAATAACTTCATATGTCCAAAAATTGACAAGGGTGTCTTGTAGTCTTGAGGTACAGTGTTTGCCTCTCATTCAATAGGCTCCGCGTCCGAAACCTGACAGTGACGGAAAATTTTATTCTCTAATAAAAGTTATCCTTTCACCCCCTTTCCTGCTCTATAACCATATTCTGTGTCATATGCTTTCATCTCCACTTTCTGCACCCCCCCCCTCCAACTTTTCAACTGCTACTTATTGGCTCCTTCTTACTGCTGTCTTTCAGCCACAGCCCTGATCTTAGGGTAGGTAAGATCTAACACTTAGCCTTCATGGATAACGGCGAAAAAATCTTGGAGGTTTCATGTGCAAGATGTGCACTTTAAAGATCCTTTGGTGGTCCAAAATAAGATAAGAGTGCTTCAGGTTTCGGTCACCCCTCTGGCAAAATTCAAAATTGATTCCTACCGAACTGAAAATGCTTAATAATTCCCACGCGCTTATAATCTTATGCAGTTGTGAGTGCTGTAAAACAGTCACCAAATGAAAAAAAAAGAAAAATTGACAAGTGTCAGATTCCACAGTGTCAGGACACATTTCTCTCCGACTGCAGTGAGTCATGAATAAAAATGAATTTGTGTTATATATGCAAAGCAAGCAAAGCAGGGTTCCGATCTAAGAAGACAGTGGTGTGTGCCTGTGTGTGCCTGTGTGTATGTATGTGTGTGTATTAGTGAGAATTGTGTGTGCGTGTGTGCATGTGCGTGTGTGTGTGTGTGTGTGTGTGTGTATGTGTGTTTTGTTTAGTTTAGTTTCTAAAGGTGTTTTATGGCGCTCACAACTGATATAAGGTCATATGAGAGCGCGAAACCAGTTGGTTACAGTATGGTTTTGGGTGTGTATGTGTGTGTGTGTGTATGTGTTTGTGGGTTTGTGTGTCTGTGGGAGTGTGTTAGTGAGAGAATGTGTGTGCGCATGCGTGTGTATTAGTGAGAGAGAGAGTGTGTATATTAGTGATAGTGTGTGTGTGTGTGTGTGTGTGTGTTTCGACAGAGTATGTGTGTGTGTATATGTGTGTGTGTGTGTGTGTGTGTATGAATGTGTACGTGTGTATTAGTGAGAGAGAGAGAGAGAGAGAGAGAGAGAGTGTGTGTGTGTGTGTGTGTGTGTGTGTGTGTGTGTGTGCGTGTGTGTGTGTGTGTGTGTGTGTGTGTGTGTGTGTGTGTGTGTGTGTGTGTGGTGTGTATGCGCATGCAATTATCTTAGCCTCCACAATTCCTCTTGAACTTTAGGCAGTCATATTAACAATTCAAAACCAAAATTTAAAAAATACTAGCATGACTCAGGCATTTTTACAATTCTACTTTAAAGATAGGATGGATAAGACAGAACTGTTTGAAGACATGGCCTAGTGGACACATATGCCTAACCAGCACGATAGAACATACAAGATGAGAAAAACAAAACAAAAGAAAAATATAAAATATACATGATAAAAATGGTTGATGTAAAGGAGAAAAAAAAGAGAGCACTGAAAGCTGTGGAGAAAAAAAAAATCAAAGAGACAAGATAAAAATGCAGGCATAATGGAAAGTTCAAATCTAGCCTTTTTCTTAGATCATGATGTTAGGAGATGTGCAAAATATTAATGGTTCTTCAGAAAAAAAAGGCAATATTAGTGAATGGTGCAAGTGACTTCACTGGTCTTACACCTAGTGACCATAAACAAGACACGTGTCTCCAAATGGCCACAAAACACTCTCTTCATTCAGGGAAAACTTGCATACTAACCGATCTGACTTCATGTATATATAGTCCAAAGTTTGCAAAAATTTGAACGCGTTCTTAGTTTTTTTTAGATAAAGAAAAAAGTATGTCAGAACTAACATTACTCTTATCTAAATAATGTGTATCTTCCTTCTCAGAAATAAAGCCGGAAGCCATGGACCTGAACCTTCTGCCTTCACCTCAACAGGACTACACACACAATCAATCTTGTTCTGCATTAGTTGTACTCTCAATCCAAAAAAAAGCCCCACTCATTCTCAAATGTGTGCAATGCTATCACTCTGATCAGAACAAACCTCAGGCTGAAGTGTTGATCAACTAATGACATTTTAAAAAAATCAAAAACATTTCATTCACAAAAGGCAAGGGCAAAAGGAATGAGTGCATCTCTGAAAGTATACATATGATTATTCTACGAACCAAGAGCTTTACACAGCATGTTGCAGAATTAACCCTTTCACTTTGGGATTCGGAACAAAATCCTGATTAACTCTAATCTTTTTCTCTCTCATAACCAAAAGTACATAATAATAATAATAATAATAATGAAGATCATTTCTATAGCGCCCACTCCCGTGTAAACACAGCTCTAGGCGCTTTACATAAATGCATGTAAGAAAAATATTCATGCACGCGACACACACACACACTCACACACACACAAACACACGCATACACACTCACGAATACATAACACGCACGCATGTATGCCAAACACACACAAACACACACTCACACACACACACACACACACACACACACACACACACACACACACACACACACACACACACACACACACACGTACACACACACACACACACACACACATCTACTTGCTTATCACACGCACACGATTACACATCGTCACGAAATGAGAATAAAATAATATATACACTGCAATTCACAAAATACATAAATGGATACATAGACATTTACATAACATTGTACTGAACATGAATCTACTGACTTAAAAAGGATGTCATTAAATGTGTCTTTAAAGATTTTTTAAATTTAGACTCAGATGTTGTATGTCTCAAGGGTTGGGGAAGAGAGTTCCAAACTGACGGAGCAAGGTGGGCGAACGATCTTTCGGCTAATTTTTTACCGCCTTTTCTAGGAACTCGTAAAAGATACTGGTCGCCTGATCTTAGTGATCTAGATGGAACATAAATCTGGATGATATCACTAAGATATGAGGGAGCTTTGTTATTGACACATTTATGACATAATATTGCAATTTTATATGACATTCTAGCTGACACGGGAAGCCAATGCAACGTTCTTAACATGGGAGTAATGTGGTCCCTCTTCTTTTTCTTTAGTACAAGCCTAGCAGCATGATTTTGAAAACGTAACTTGTGAAGAGAGGTATTTGGTAAGTTAGCTAGTAAAGCATTGCAATAATCGATGCGTGAAAACAAGAAAGATGACACGAGCGTTTTCAACGAGTGTTCGTTCAAAAACATAGACATATGACCAATTCTATAAGGCCACTGAATGTTAAAGATTAGCTTCCCCGTACTACATTACTTTACTATCCAAATTATACAGTACAGGTGTGACCAATATGAGCTCACGTTACAATGGCACAATAAATTTAGCTACCAAATGTAAATTCGAGGCATAACATAAAACGTTCTTTCTCCTCTTCACTCCAAATCTCATTGTCTGTATCTCTATATTTATGTCCATCCATCTGAAACACTCAGTTTGCCTTCTGTCTGCCAAGTGCCAGTCTCTGTCTCCCTCTATTTCTCTCCCCATCAATCCCTCTCTCTTGAAACCCCTCCCCCTCTTTTTTCTGGATCATAAATCAGCTCTCAGCAAACTTCTAGATCACAGATGTCAGACACGTCACAGCTGGCCTGGCTCTATTCACACAGTATCTTACCACGAATTTGATATTCTCTACACTTGCAAATTAAGAAGAAAAGACTTTGGCAAAACAAAACCATTATTCAATGAATCTCAATTCAATAAAGACCCTCTAACTCTTAGGCTCTCACAGACAGCAAATACACAGGAAGGGACAATGACAATACAAATATGATCAGGGGATTGTAATCTCAGTCAGCCAGACCAGAACATTGTGCTCAATCATATTCATAAAGACACATCTCTTTAAATTTAAATAGAAAACCATAGGTAACAGTAGTTGTTTAAGATTTATAATCTATTTAAAACAGAGGGCCGACAAAGTTCTCAGTGAATGACATTTTAGTAAAACTAAACTATTTGAATATTAGGAATTTCTATTAGCCTTGAGATTGCCTTTTTGTTTAATTGAACTTGTCAACATGAACTCAGCTAAAATAAACAAAGAGCAGCTCAAAGTCATTGTGTGTGTTTGTGCATGTTTAAATGGAGGTCTTCACATAGAAGAGCAGAGAGTACGGGCCTAGTTTGAATTCAAGAGATGATCCGATCTTCTTGATAATTGGTTTTGTGGGTACCAAAGGCCCTGGCCCTGGTGAGAATAACCCATGACACGCTATTCTCACTCCCATCCCCCCGGACACTGACAGTGGTGCAGATCTATATATATTAATTTTTTATAATAGTTCTGCCTGCTTCAAGCGTTCCATCCCATGAGATGAAGGAGCGCTCTTACAGAATTAAAGTCAGGATATATATGGGATGAAAAATTACTAGACGTCTATGCAGACTTTTTCAACAGATATCATGATCACCTTGGCTTAACCAGGTCTTAGCTAAATAAATATCCTTAATGAACAGCAAATAGAATAATAATTGTGTAAAAACATTTTTCGCCTTTCCAATAAAAAATAATTATGTCTCACTACCGACGCTATCTAGATCTAGATCTAGATTAGGTTAGATAGATTATAAATACTGACGACTGGATTAGCCTACTTAACTAACTTATAATAATGTCCTTATTTATGTCTAGAATCTAGATTATAAAGTAAAAGGTTCGGTGATCTAGTAGTTCCGTTCGTTAAAGTCCACGATCCATTTGTTTACATTCAGAGAAGAAATCCAGAAGTCTTGAAGACCAAATACTATTTGAATTGGCCACCTCTATTCTGTGAGAATAGTGCAGGCGAGTCTTGTGGCTATTCTCACCCGGTGCGCGTTCACCAAATTTTGCGTTCACCCTAAACCACAGAATTCTACACTGTTGAAGACTTTCGATCTAAACTACTGTCTACTGTCTGTGTTCATATATAGATCTATGTGAGGCAGCGTGGTGGAATCCTACTAAAAGCGTACAATTTTGTCTGTGGGCAGTGGAGAGAGAGAGAGAAAGAGAGAGAATTTCCGGGCAAAACAAAATGGCGACCCGCGTAGTTCGGCTCGATTCGAAAAGTTAAATAGCCGTAGCATCTTTGTAGACAACCAAATTAATTTACTTTTGTGTTTTAACATCATTTTTAACTTTGTTTTGTTCAAGTTGATCGTCCACACCGATAGACAGTATTCAGAAAGAGACACAGAGAGAGAGAAGAGGGGAGGAGTTAATCTTGCAAGAACTTCCAGACCGGTGAGAATAGCCACTTTCATTTGAATTAGGCTAGATCTAGATTCTACACAAAGAGCAGGGATGCAATCTAACTGCAAAACATCAAATTAGGATAAAATTCAGGGGGGCATGCCCCCCTGAACCCCCCACCTCCATATTTTTTTTAGGTCAGGGGGGCAAGCCCCCCTGAAACCCCCCTGCTTGACTTTAACGAACGAAACTACAAACGTAACAAAGCTGCCTGGCGTCGATCTAACTGAAATTTTAATTATCAGCTGACTGCTTCCAAACCTACAGGCGCACCGTAGTTTCTCTGTAAGTACGGCCAGAGTGTCGAAGAGGATCTCTTGAGAAATTGCTTGACCTGCCTGGAAAACATCTTGCTATCACTATGTTGCACAACCAAGGACAGACTGTCTCAGACAGTGGCAGTCGCAGTGGTTCACTGTGGTTCCGATGACGAGAGAAGAAAACGAAAACTGAACATCCGAAACGAAGTGATAACTTCAGCCTTTGCCTTGACCCAGTTTTACAATTGTGACGGTGTTCTGTTACTTTTGTCCACCTATGGAGAATCTTGTAGCTTTATTCTATAATCACAGCATTTAAAGAAATTTTTTTAAAAATTAGGTCTCGCCTTTAATATGACATATTTTTAACGAAAACTGTAAGCCTATTCAAAGTGTCACATCCATAACGGGCTTAATTAAAACTATACCCGGCCAGCAATGAAAGTATTTAAGCCAAGGACCTTATTTATAACCTCATTTGATGTTGGTCGATCTATAGGTTCTGTTAACTTAAGAATCAACTCGAAAATAAGATTCTATAACAGTTTCAGATGGTCACTCTCTATGCAAGGAGGGGTAATAAGGGGCGTGACCTGCCCCTCGAGACAGCCTCAGAGGAACTGTTGGCGCTAAAATCGAAATTAAAAGGTTAATAAACATCATCATACGATTATCATCATCATCATCATCATCATCATCGTCATCATAATCATCATCATCATCATCATCACCATCATCATCATCTTCATCATCATCACCGTTAACTATAGCAGAGAAAATACTGGAGACTCTTTAGTCAAACCTCGTTATATCTCCTGCCTTGAGACAAACATAAAGTTGGCGGTACAGCGGGACTGGCGGTATAACGGGATGCAACCGACTGCCAGCTTGACTAGTGGAAGACTGGTAGAGACTAGAGACAAGCTGTGGCCAGTTCTACCTCATCTAGATCTGTTTTGCACGACGGCATATGAGCTCCAGCACCTGTATTTCAAGAAACTTAAAAGTTGAGGATCCTGCAGCTGAGCTATAATGTGACACCCTGTACACTGACGGGTTTTTTCCCCCTCAACACTCAACACATTGTAGAGCCTACTCACCAGTCCTTCCGCCGCCTAATTAGTCCTATCCTGTAGATTTGAGCGTGAGTCCCACTATTATGCAAGACCTACGGGCGCCTGCCAGCAGGTTGTGCTGATACCTGTCGAAGCCTATACTTTGCCGGCGAGTCGAGTTGGTACTGAAGTTACTCATCCAGGCGACGCAAAAAATTTACAAGCGATGTTTTTTTTTTTAAATACTGACCAAATCTCTACATTAGTAACATTTTCAAAATAGGTGCAAATCAGGATAAATCGACACGCGCTAAAAATAGGCCGGCGAGCTTACAGTGTGGGAATAAGAGGTTGTCGAGCAGCCACAGTGTGGGAGCCTTACTTATCTCTGGCGGCTGATTTGCTGGTGGTACCGTGAGTCAAATTTACATTAGTTTAAATGGGACCGTACAACTCCCTCAATTGGCGGATGGCTGATGGCAGTGTGAAGGCATACGTCATTGTTTAATACTATAGGCGTTCCTTTTCGTACCTTGGCAACCTGGCGGTAATCGGGGCTGGCGATGTAACCGGGGGGGGGGGGGGGGGGGGCGTATCCTGGCTTGTAGTTTTTGAGTTTCTGTTCTCTATGCAGGTTTTGAAGCTCAGCGTGTGCTGGTAAACGAGTTGGGTGCCAAAAACTACTTTATTCCTTATTAATGGGTATGATGATAAGTATCTTTTTATTATTTGGTCATTTCTCCGGCGATTGTGTTACAAATCTTTTCTCATCTGATCTTGTTGACAGCTTTCCTCAGGTTTTGAGTTTCACATTTTGTCGTTTTACGAACGAAGCGTGTTATCATTGTACCAAGCTTGGTTTTGATCAAGGTTGGAACAAATGTGGAGTTGACAATCTGTTTGTCTACGAGTATATTATTATAAAGTAAACCTTATGGAACCGGGGCGTTCTGATAACGTTTTCTTTTTAGCAGAGAAATAGAGCTGGTTAATGTAAATTCCGCCATACTCAGTAAGTCCCTCTTCGTCGGTAGTGGTTAGGCTACCAGACTCGTGATCGAGAGATTGCAGGTTTCGGGGGTTCGAGCTTCAGCACGGTCCGACGGTTGTGTTCTTTGAAAAGGCACCTTTACCGAATTCCCCACTTGGCTCGGTCCTTTCCGAGATGGGCGTTAAACCCGGAGGTCCCGCCTCTTAAATAACCAGCAGTGTTGATAGAGGTGTTAAACCTATACAATTTCACCATGTTCACCAGTCTCACTTCTTGCTCCACCATGCTCCAGTGTAAAATGCAGAATCATAGTTTTATGTCTAGATCTTATCAAAGATTCAAGCGGTCGTACTTTGGCTTAGATAGTAGTTAGGTAATTTGATTTTCCACGCAACTAAAACATGTTTCGAAATTAACTTTGCGAACAGTCAGTTGTTTCAATTTAGCAAAGTGATTTCAATTTCATTTTGAATGCGGCTACCGTTAACATTTTCAGTTTTTTAGTTCGTTTCGACCACTCCTGAATACAGGAGGATACGCTGAGAAAGATTTTCAGTGAAGTCCACTTATAACGAGTCCTGAAGTAGTGAGAAGTCTGTTATAAAGACATCATTCATTTTAAAACCCCGGGTTTTTTTTTCTTCTTCTTTATCTTTGTAAACCATCATCAGAGGAGATAACAAAAAGAAATAAACAGAACACTAAACTTATAGATTAGGTTTACTTTATTATTTCCTTTGAATTTATAACTGGATCCCTTGCAACGAGAATCCTGTTATAACGGACATTTCGTTCCGGTCTCCTCCCTCTCGGTATAACAGGATTCCACTGTATTACCAACGAAGAAAGGTTAAGGCAAACAAGACAGAGCCCAGTCAGAGATGAAGTGGGAAGAAGGTTTAGGAGATGGATTGGACATACACTCTCAGAAAATCAGGCAGCTGAATGATAAGGAAAGTGTTGGATTGGAATCCACAAGGTAAAAGGTCAAGGTGAATAACCTTTTAAAGACCTCGTGGAAGCCTGAGAAGAGCCACATAATTTGATGTGCAGAAAAGTGGGAAGACATGGAATAACACTAAGAGGGAAGAATAGGGAACGGTGGAAAGTATTTGTACGTGGCCTATACCCTGATCCAGAATAAGAAAGGCAAAGATGATGATGATGATGATGATGATGATGATGATGATGATGATGATGATGATGA